CTTTATGAGGAGCCACCACACTGATTTCCATAGTGGCTGTACAAGTTTACACTCCCACCAGCAATGGAGGAGTGGTCCCCCTGCTCCACATCCTTGCCAGCATGAGCTGTCACTTGTGTAATTGATCTTACCCATTCTGACAGATGTAAGATGGAATCTCAAAGTAGTTTTGGTCTGCATTTGGATGATGGCTAAGGATGTTGAATATTTCTTTAAATGTGTCTCAGCCATTTGAGATCCCTTTATTGAGAATTCTGTTTAGATATATACCCCTAATTTTTCATTGGATTGTTGGGGTTTAACATATTAATTTCTTTATATATTTTGGATATTAGCCCTCTATCAAATGTAGGGTTGTAAAAACTTTTTCCCATTCCGTAGGCTGGATTGGTGGTGTCCTTAACCTTACAGAAGCTTTTCAGTTTCATGAAGGCCCATGTATTACTGATCTTAGTATCTGTTCCGAAAGTCTTTTCCTGGACCAGGGCATTAAAGGTTATTCCCCACTTTTCTCTTCCATCAGATTCAGTGTATCTGGTTTTATGCTGGTACATTTTTTTGATCCACCTTGAACTTGAATTTTGTGCAGGGTGATAAGTATGGATCTATTTGTATTCTTCTACATGCAGATGTCCAAGTTGACCACCACCATTGGTTGACGATACTTTCCTTTCTCCAGTGTGTTTTTCTGGCTTCTTTATCAAAACTCAGGTGTCCATAGGTGTGTAGATTTATGTCTAGGTCTTCAATTCATTCCCATTAATCAAGGTGTTGGTTTTTAAGCCAATACCATGAAATTTTTACTACTATAGTTCTATAGTACACCGTGAAATCAGGGGTAGTGATACCTCCAGAACTTCTTTCATTATTTAGGATTTTTTTGGTTGTCCTATGTGTTTTTGTTCTTCCATCCGAAGTTGAGAACTGTTCTTTCAAGTAAACATGTTTCTTATACAAGAAAAAAAAAAGGATAGCTACAAAAGTGTTACACAAAGATAATGAAGGGAAATGGGGCATGGACTACATACCAGAGTCAAGTTTATTAGACTAGAGTTTAGTCCGATGTTGCTTCTTATTAGTTTTGGTTAATTATACAAAATTATGGTTTTCATTGTGACCTTGTCAGACTTGTTTATATTGTGTTTTAATATGATTCATTCCCATTACCCTTCTCTGACTCCCTCCCTACTCCTACTGGCTGTCTTCCTCTTCTCAGTCTTTCTCCTTCTTTCAACTCTCTTTCTTTTGGCCAAGATTCTGTATGTAATAAGAGAAACCATGTAACAGTTGTCTCGCAGGGTCTGGATTATTTCTCTTAACATGACCGCTGCCAAGTCTATATATTTTGGGGCAAATGACACAATTTCATCCTTCTTAATGGCATAATAGTAGATAGATAGATAGATAGATAGATAGATAGATAGATAGATATCATACTTTATCCAGCTATCTAGACTGGCTCTATATCTGCAGTATGGTACACAGTACCTCAGTAAACATGGATGTGCACACATCTCTGTAGTGTACTTACTTAAAGTCCTTTGAGAACATATCCAGGAACAGGAGAGCCAGATCATATGGCAACACTTTTTCTAGTTTTTTTAAGACCCTTCATACCGATTTCCATAGTGACTACACCGATCTACATTCCCGCCCACAGTGTAAGGGATCTACAGTCAGGGTATCCTTGCACAATTGGTTTGTGGTTTGTTTTCTCTGATGATAGCCACTCTGGCTGAGGTGAGATGTAAAGGTATCTTAGTGCAATTTTGATTTTCATTCCTTGATGACTAAAAATAGTGAATATTTATTTTTGTATTAATTGTATAATTTGCATAATTTTTCTCTTGAGACTTTTCAGTATAATTCATCTGCTCATCTATATTGATTATTTGGGTATTTAATTTTAGACATTAATCTCTAATAACAAACATGGATTTTTCTCATATTCAACATGTCAGTTTTCTATATTGAGCAATTCTCCAGCTCTGCATGGACTCCAGCTTGGTCTTTTACAGTTTAACTCAGTTCTGATACAAACTACCTCAAGCTAAGCAGAGAGCCCACTGCGCAGTTCCATTAAACTGCCTCCCACATTGGATGTCAGTCAAAGCCAGTGGATGATAGGTTACTCATCTCTCTGACGGCAGCCAATAAGCTGTTCCAATGAGCTGTCCTCAGGTCTGATCCTTTGCTGTGCTAGGTTACAGAACTCAGAGAACCACTGCAGGTTAATCTTAAAGGATATTTAAAAATATGAAAATAAATAACTAAGTGAAAGAAAAGAGGGCAAGGTCCAGATACCTCCTGGGAACAGGAGAGAGTCAAACTGAAGTGCTCCCTCCCAGCACCCAGGGAAGATGGTAAGCGAAACTGAGAGTCCCTACTCACAGCATGGTTTCTGGGGACCAATTGTCCTTCGTCCTGCTGAAACTATCAGAAGTCCCATCAAGTTGCCTGAGAAAAAAAATTCTCCAAAACTCTAGAATATTCAGGGATTAAGGTACTCTATGTATATCATGCTCATCATTCAAAAAATAATAGTTAGGGAGGCTGTATTAGGAAGCCAAGAGAAAATGCATATGTTTTACTATGTCAGCTCTCACAGTTTCCACCCTGTGAGGACCAAGAAGCCCAAGTCAGAGAATGAAGGAGAAACAGTGCATCTAACTATCGCTTCCCAAGGGGCTTTTGTACAATGAGTCACAATCCTTGAAGGAATTGTTTTAATCCTAATTGTGCTATGATTATTGTTTTAATTAGACATAATAGGAGTTGTGGGTGCCCAATCTTTGACTTGTTGTTAGATAAGATAGTTTCGGGCTGTAACTCTCCAGAATTTATGCGAGGCAACTGTATTGACGAGTAAAGCAAGGAATACCACCCTCTCCTCTGCTACACATTTGTTAACTTGCACTACAGTGTAATAGCTTGAAGTTTAAGTTCAGCGGCACCCCCATGTGTAGGGCACCACATTTAAACATACCAAGACTCCACATAAAGCGGTTACTTGAGCAGTAGGATTAACAAGTCAGCAGATGTTAAAGTTTACTTAGAATGAGCTGAGGTCACTGAAGTGCAACACCAGTTGGTGCCCTTTCTACTTTTCTGATGGATAAAAATTGTCTTGTAGATTTTGGATTTCCAATACGATCATGCAACCTTTTTGGAGCCTCCGTTCACAAGTAAGCGCTTTCCCATCTGGTTGCGTCCTCCCTGTGACAATGGTTGCCCTACAAGTAAGGGAGCTTCTGTCTTATGTTATTCTTAAGCTCGTGTCTCGGCCTCCTGCTTGCTGAGATGTGATCAGGCTGAATGACAGCCTTGCCCACCACAGACAGAGCCATTTCAGCCCTCAGCCCCTCCTCACCATGAGAGGGTGAGATGAGATGGGACGAAATCCTCCTCCCTTTTTAATCTGTCAGATGTTCCTGTCACGACGCCCATATTTGACTAAGCTCCTTCTGAGCTTGCTACCCATGCCCTCCAGAGTTGTTTCCTCCATAAAGCTACTCTGAACTGTGGCTTGCTCCACACTCACCTGTTGCTGTTATAGAACAGCATGACCAGAAGCCATTAAGGAAAAGAGGGGGCCATTTTAGCACATGGTTCCACAGGGAGAGTCCATCGTGCTGAGGAAGGCAGGACAGGGTGACAGATGCATTCAGGAAGCAGTGACAGATGGAGACAGAGGCAGACACAGACAGACATAGTAACGCAGATACAGGCAGAGACCCAGAGATACAGAGAAAGACATAGAACAAGAAGACGAGTGATATTATAAAGCAAAACAAACAAAAACCCTTGTGGTGTATTTCTTCCAGCAAGAGTCACCCTCCTGAAGGTTCCATAACTCCCCCAAATGCCAACAACAACTGTGAATCAAGTGTTCAAATTCATGAGCCTAGAAGAGGCATTTCTTATTCTAGCCACCACGTCTTTGTAGTCACACTGTAGCGAGTGTCTTGCTTCTAGAATCTGTAAAAGAGACTTCATAATATTCAGCAGATGCAGCAATAAGCAGCCTAGCTCCAAATGCAGGCTCGCCTACAGGTGGCAACACAGCCCACAGACATAAGCCAGAAGGCAACAGTTCAAAATACAAGTTCATGAGCAATCAGCGGGGCCAATTAGCAAGGCAAAATAAGACCTCGGCTGTGCTGACCATTGCTGAAACCCATACTTACAGGTACCAGTGGCCACCACTCTTACAGACCGGCTACAATTTTCACATAAAATTGGTTCAAATGTGGACAGGTGAAGACATACATGTGCCAGGAGGGAAGGAAAAAAAATTACTGACAAAATGGGGCTTGCTGGGGAGAATCAGACACACTGTCAAGAAGGTAAATAAATGATTTCAAAGATCAAGGGGAGGCGTGGCCAACAACACTAATGGAGACTGTGGAAGATTGGTCATACATTTAGTCACATGGAAGACATGAAAGGAACAGGGATGCGCAGGGACTTGAAAGCCGCTGCAAATATCAAAAGTGAAGTCAGGCGTCATTACAGGCAGTAACGTGAGAAGTCTCTGTAGTAGAGTAGCTTCTTCTGAACTGAAACGCTTGCTCCAGGAGCAAGAGGAGAGGCTGCCAAAACTCATGAGGTAATGAGTGAGCATCACAAGTCTGGGAAAACTGAAGCTTGGAGGTTCCCCAGGACTGCGGAAGCCATAAGTAACTGCTCAAGAGAAACTGAGCAGCAAGCTATAGAGCGGTCTCTGGGAATGTTCCACTCCTGTGCAAGCCGTGCAGAGAGCTCCACGGATGCAGCTTGGTGATGAGCTACTTTTGAGTCATCCTTGTTGTTGCAAATAACACTCCACTTGTAGTGGCATTTCATTTGTATTTTAATAAATAAAGCTTGCCCGAGGATCAGAAAAGTAAAACGGCCCCAATGGCCAGCCTTACAGACCAAGCAGTGGTGGCACACACCTTTAATCCCAGTAGCCACACTAGTTTGCCATAGAAAGTGGGCGGTAGTGGTGCACGCCCTTAATACCAGCCCTAGAGAGGAATATAAAATGGGAGGAGACAGCTCTCACACACAGTCTCATTCTAAGATTCCTGGAGGCAGGATCACCATTTTGGACTGAGGCAGAAGTAAGAGCCAGTGACTGGCTGCTTTGCTTTTCTGACCTTCAGGTTGAACCCCAATTTCTGACTCTGGGATTGTATTAATCATGCTTCATTCACTCCAGCTAGTAACCCAAATAAAAACTCAGTAGTTCAACAAGTTGGACCCTGGAGCAGCCGTTCCTCCAGTCTGCTATCCTTCCCGTCTGGGGTAAGTACCTGTACGTTTAGGAAAGATTTATCACAAAAAAAAAAAAAAAAGTCTCATTGATTGTGCCAGTGAAAACCTAATATGTGCGTGTTTTTGATGGTTCTTGTTTTCTCATTTGCATTAATGGTTGATGTGTTTTCCTTTCAAAGTGTTAAAATCTGCCGGGCTTGGCAGCACAGCCCTGTACTCCCAGCACTCGGCGGGTAAAGGCAGGTGGAGCTACTACAACTTGTTTGATTTCATTCCTCCTCTTACGCCCACCCCTACCTGAGCATCCATCACCAATCTGTCCTTATCTTTCTAAATTCTTCTCTTTCCTCAGTTTTGTACATCTCTCCTCATAATTCCATCCCTGCCCGTGCCCAGACTCAAAACATCTCAAGCAGGAAATGGTGTTCAAACCCCGAGGCAAGCTAATCCTATAATTCTTTAGGAAATTCAGTTTCTGCACAGAAAGGCGTGATTAAGAACAAGTCGATAGCACTTGTATCAGGATCAGAAGACACGATTGGCAAACTACTCAGCGCAAAATTCATTTCAGAATAGCTGATGTTTTTCTTTCATCATTTTCTTCATTTTCCATATAAAACCATACTTTCCTTTCCTCTCCTGCTTATACTTCACCCATCTTTCCTTCCTGGCTTCAGGCCTGCCTTCCTTTCTCCATCTTTTGATTTGTCATTTCTTTCTTTCCCTTCCCCTCCCTCTCAGGTTAATGCACAGTGGTTGAGTCACTCTGGAGCATAAGAAGACATCAGTGCTCAGTTCAGGAGGTGAGCACTAGAGACGGAGAGGACCTCAGTTCTGAACCCGCCAGAAGCAAAGATGGAGCAAGCCAGCCTCGCCATGAAAACACCCAGCAGTGTAAGTCAGGGTTAGCTCCTGGAATGCGGTCTCCTGGATGGTCATAATTGGTAGTAGATATGCTTTGCTAATTAATGCTCTGGTGAGAGCATGCTTTGCATGAAGGAAGAACTCCTGGTAATTTGCAAGTCAGTTTTAGAAGAATCTCTATGAAAATCATAACAAAATAAGAACTGTCATCATTTAAAGAAACAGCTTAGAAACAGCCCCAATGGGAAATACTGTGATCACGGAGGTAGCTTTCCCAGGGTGAGGCTCATCCATTGCACTGCACATACGCTGTCCCTTATGAGTTTCCAAAATTTTGGGGAATTGCATAATTAGTGATAGTGGAGGGGGAGGCTGTGTTCCCATTTTCCCTTTATTTTTGTGTTAAAGAGATAAGCAACTTATTCAATCCTGCAAAGTTTATAAAGAGTATGTTTAAATACTTATCTCCAAAATATCTATCAATAAAGGAAAATCAGTAGAGAAAAGCAAAGATTGGAGATTTGCAAACTAAAATGAATCAATGTTATAAGACAGAGGAAGTCCGTTATAATGGCAAATTAAATGTTCTATGCCCTATTTCACTAGGATGAACTTGGGCTAGAAAAGTAGGAGGGGCAGTGTTTCTCTTGTTACTTCCAAGGTGCTGCTGGTCTTTTCTTACCAGGTTCTTTGCATCATAGAGTGTAATCTCCAGGTAAGTGAGCAATGGTAGAAAATACAAGGCAGGAATTTAAACTCAGAGAGCAGAACTGGGCTTCATAAACCAACATTGGTACTTTGTGGAATTTTAAATACAGAGAAATCAACTAAGAATTCCAATCAGCTCTCTGCAGCTAAAAGAAGGTATACTATGCATGTATAAGTGATATATATGTATATATGTGTTATATGTATATGTACATACATACATACATGTGTATAGATGTGAACTTACATTATAACATTTTATATAAGTTTTTATTTTAATCATACATAAAAGACACAAGAGATTGTTTCCAATGAATAAGTAACTGTTTTCACCTCTAAAGGAGACAAACAGGATGGCTGCTCAGGGTAGGAGATGGGAACTGGACTTCTTATCTCACTGTTTCTTGTTCATTAGCAGTAACACATGTCACCACTTCATTTTTGTATGCATCTAGGTCATCAAATGCCGGGCAGCTGTTGCCTGGACAACCAATGCCCCCCTTTCCATTGAGGAGGTTGAAGTTGATCCACCAAAGGCCGGTGAGGTCCGAATTAAGGTAAATATAAATGGTGATACATTGAGTAGATATGGACGTATATGTGTGTGTGTTTACAATGATTTTTTAATTTAGGAAACATGGTATTCTACATTAAAGAGAGTTAAGAGTTCCTATGATATACAGATTGATATTGGTGTCTAGTAATAATGAGGTTGTTGCATTTTGTTAAAATGTCACAAACCTAAGACAGATAAATACTAAGTGGTCGGTAATATTTTTAAAATACTAATGATTTTTGGATTTGAAAATCAGACTGGGGAGGGATCAGTGAAGTCACATAAAAGCCAGGCAAGAGGCATACATTTGTAACTGGGAGTTAGAGACAGGAGAATCCCCTGGACTTTTCTGGTCAACCAGTGAGGCCAAAGTGATGAGCCTCTGTTTCTGGTTCAGTGGGAAACCTTGTCTCAAAAAATAGAGGAGTAAATGAGGACAGATATCTGGACTTCAACCTCTGGTGCATGTGTGGCGCACACACACAGACATACAAGCACACACACACAGAAAGAGAGAGAGAGAGAGAGAGAGAGAGAGAGAGAGAGAGAGAGAGAGAGAGAGAAAGTTCTCTTTCATACACACAGGAAACACACACATAGGAAAGCTCATTCATACACACATAAGTCATATACACACAAAGTAAGATTGGTGGAAATCAACACAACTGTTGGTTCCTAAAGTTCACTTTTTGACAGTTACAGAGCTATTCTGATATATAACTATTCAGTGGCTGTAGGTGTCCTCCCAGACTTGTGTTAAAGTGTGGTTTCCAATATAATGATTCCAGGAATGTCTCTAAGAAGTAAGTGTGTAGATCGTGGGGCCTTGGCCCTCACAAATAGATTAAAGCTGTTCTTGTAGGAAGAGATTACTTACAGGCTCCTAACAAAAGCACGATTCTGCACCCACCTACCTCTCTATATCACACACATTCATCTGCTGTTTGCCATGTTGTAACAGAAGGTGGGCCCTTGGGTGAGAGACCATGGTCTTAGATTCACCAGATTCCACAGTTGTGAGCCAAATAAACCGATAGGGTCAGAATGACATAATCGGTGATATTCTGTTACATCAGGAGACAAGAGACTCAGACAAAAGCAGGTGCTCTGCTGCAGTGGGAGTGGCTATGAGGCCCAGGCCCCCCTCCCACACTTGTTTCCTGGGAGGTTCTCCACTCCAGGTATGACAGATCTAGAGTTCTAGAGATTAATCACCGACCTTCTTCTGCCATTCTCAACTGTAGGAAAAGTTTGCTCTAGACAGGACCACCTCACCAGGGTCTGCTCTGGCCATCATCACAGAATACCATCATGCGTGTGTTTTAGAGAAGATTTACTTTCTCACAGTTCCAGAGTCTGGAAGTCTTCTAGATGAGGGAGCCAGCATGCCTGGTTCTGATAAAAGCTCTCATACTGGCATAGATAGATAGATAGATAGATAGATAGATAGATAGATAGATAGATAGATAGATGCTCGTCTTCTTGCTGTACCTTTCTGTGAGAGAGAAAGAGGGGACATGGAAAGGAGAAGGAAGCTCCTGGTCTCTCTCTTCATAAAGATAGAAGCTGTGAATTCATGGCTTCATCTGAAACTGACTACCTCCCTCCATGTGCTATTATACTGGGGACTGCTAGACTAACACATCCCATGAAACCTAATCCATTTTAAAGATACATTTCATTTTAAAAGTGTGTGTGTATGTGTGTCTGTGTGTGTGTGTGTACTTGTGTGCTGGTGCCCCCTAGAAGCCACAAATACACTGAAGCTGGAAAGACAGACAGTTGTGAGCTACCCAACTTCAGTGCTAAGAACAAACTCAGGTCCTCTGCAGGAGCAGAAAGCATTCTTAACTGATAAATCTTCTCACAAGCCTCTCCATCTAGTCCCCTGAGAAAGACATTAAGCCATTCATGAGGGTAGTGCTCTTGACCCATGCATTGAAGCCATTGCTGATTTTCAATACTTGCTATTTTGGGAGGTAAGAGTCTAGCATGTGAACCTCTCATGAAGCAGACCACACCCAAACCTTACCCAAGATCTTGGTGATAAGCATTTAAGAGAGGCCTGGAACTCTGTGAGCAAGCAGCAGCAAACTCAACACAGAAAACCGGGCAAAGATGCAATTAATAGTTCACGCTGACATCACTGAATCTCTGCAGATCTAAAGCTGTGGACCGGACTAGACTGATTTCCCTCAAGACCAAGCAGAGAGGGCATTTGAAAACAGAAAGCAAACAAGCAAAAGGGCAGAGAGAGATGAGATTCTGGGGCAACTAGAAGCATCAAGTAAACAAAAGGACAGAGAGGGATGGGACTGCCAGGTAACTGCTTGGATCAATGGCATGAATAAACAGACCAAGAAAACACACAGATAAACATCTCCCATCCGGGAAGAGCCCAGAGGAATAAAGAAAATAACATCAAAGTGAGCAGATTGCCAAAGCGAAAGAGCAATTTTACAAAGAATTTGGAACGTTCCAAGGATCAATTTCTGCGGGCCAGAAAAAAAAAAATAACAAAAATAAAGAGAATGTCTAGATAAAACTTGTTAGCTCTGTCAACATTTGCCAAGGGAAATATGCAGTCTGAAACTGATCTGACTGGCCACCAGCTCCATCAGCTGTGCCCCTGAGGACAACTAAGTGACCTTTTGAATTGGAACAGTTAGAGAAAGAAAACTGTTGCAAAGAGGAAAAGACAAGGAAGCTGTATAGGGCAGAAGAACCTTTGGAGATGGCTTCAAAGGCCTTTCCAGGTCCCTTTTTGCAATGTTAGCTGGTATCATGAAACAGCACGCGGGATGGGCATGGGAAAGCTGTCACAGAAAGGCTTGGGGTTTAGACTGTTTTACTTCTTGGCATGGAATTTAGGGAAGAACACCAAAATGTTACCCAGGTTTCCCTCCCTGTGAGTTCAGGTAACAAGATATGCCCTAAAGTTCCTGCTGTATTGACCACATCCCACAGTTTGTAACAAAGTGCTGGAAAGATTTTAGTGATGTTTGCCAAGTTAAGGCAGTCGGGGCAAAATTATGAAGACAAGAGAAACTCCGTGTTGTGTTCTGTGGGCACAATGATGTCACTTGAAGTTGTAACCTATTTTTCTCTGCAAGACTCAATAATTTTATGACCAGGTATTTTAATATAATAATTGCATTCATTCTTCGAGGGCCTCATGCATGCATGCAATATGTTTTGATCATATTCACCCCTGCCCACATCCCCATCCTCTTCCTACTTCATGTCCTTTTTCTTCTTAATAGCTCACTGGGTCCAGTTTCTGGGGCTGGTTTAGCGAGCTAAGCCTTTGTCCTGTACATTTTAGAGGTAAAGTTTCAAACAGCTAATTACCTAGACTAAGACTATGAGTCAAATGAAAGGTGAAGGTAAGTAGAGAATATTAATAGTTTGTTAGGGTAGAACAAAGGCCAGTAGGTCATACTCTCCTGAGTTGCCTGTTAAAGAACTCAGGGCTACCCAAACCTGTTTATCAATCAGTAAGGGCAGACATACTGTCTCTGTTCAGTACCTCCTGCCTAGGGCTCCTTTCTTGCCAATAAGTCCTGTCAATAAGGATAATTATGGGGGACTGGCTTTATGTAGATTTGACTCTGAGAACAAAGTGAATGCTTCCATACCAGGGCCCCAAGGTGTGGGAGAGGTCATCCAGTTGCCAGTGCAGGATAAGTCAGGTTTACAGGATGATTTATCCACTGCTGGGATATTTTGGGATGAATCCCTTAATGGGAGGGAGAAAGCCGTGACTTCAGACTATTTCTACAGAATTGACAGTGACTATCCAAACGATAGGTGTTCCCAAAGCTTTGCACATCAGGCTCCCCATAAGGTGCACACTTGTGGGTTTTTCTAGTGATCTGTGAGCTGTACTTTTATTTTATAATAGTTGTGGCTCACAGCACCAGTTTATGCTGCTCATATGTGCACAGTGTGGGTCACTGGAGCACAGTTGGCCTACCCAGGACCATCCTCCTAAAGAAAACTGACTCACGTGGCAGCCACCAACTGTCAGTTGTTCCTCAGCTAGGCGTGAGCTTGGGAACCCTTCTCTCCTGGGATGCTGAATGGCTTCATCTTGTGCTGGTGACCACAGCCGCTGTGAGTTTATGGGTGCATTTATCCTGTCATGTCCAGAGGACACTGTTTCTCCCTGGTCTTCCTCAACCTCTGGCTCTTACTATCTTTCCAACCCCTCTTCCACTAGATGGCCCCAGTCTTGGGGAAGTGTGTGACGAAGATGTCCCACTGACAGCAGAGAGTGCCGTACATACTCTACACTTTAACCAGCTGTGAGTTTCTTCATTAGCTTTCGTCAACAGCACAAAGGAGCTTTGCTGAAGAGATCTGAGAGATGCCCCAATTGAGGAGTAAACATGCATGTCTTTAGAGGGCAGGTTGATACTCTGTCCCTTTAGCAATAAGACAATAGGAATAGGTCTGCTTCTAGAGCCTATGAACCCCCAACCAGTCTATCCCTCCTCCTGGGGTTCATCTTGAGGACTTTCTGGCCAGACAACTTATTGCAATTTCCAGCTAAACATCCTGTTTGTTCCTGTGCTCCCTCTATCCTCTTGGTGATTAGCTATAGGGCCTTGTTTTCTCCATCGCGGGCCTGGTAATTTCCCACCTGCCTAAAGGGAATTTCATTGTGCAGCAGCTAGGTATATAAGGTTTTTCCTAAGGTTGAATAAACAGCATTCGGCAGTCTCTTCTCACAGATGACCCACGTCTCTTGTGTGTTCCTTTAATCTCCAGGCCCTTGCCCTGCTCGCAAACGGTACAGTAACACCAACTGTACCGTAGAGAGTTAACTGTACCGTAGAGAGTAACGCAGGAATTACACTCATTAATCCCATTTCCTTTTCTACTATACCTTCTCTTTTACAACATTTTCTTCCCTCTCCCACTAGGGGCTTCTTTTGGTTTTCCTGGTGTATTAGTTAGGATTCTATTGCTGTGATAACGCACGATGACCTGAAGCAAGAGCCTCCTTAGTCTTATTCATCAAAACCCCGAGTCAGATATTAGCGTGAAAGCTGAAAGATCAGAGAAGCAGAGCAGCAGCCCCTAGAGACTTCTTACCTATATGAAATCTCAAACCAAATGGGGAGCAAGATCCATCTGCACCTCCCTAGTGCACCACCAATGCTCGACTCTGTTTCTCTCTTAGACTGGCTCAAACCCATATAGCCCAGGGTCTTCTGATCTTCCTGCTTCCTCCCAAAGTACTGGGATTAAAGGTGTGTGACACCACTGCCTGGCCTCTAGGGTTAACTAGTGGCTGGCTCCTCCCTCTGATCTCCAGGCAAGCTTTGTGTGTCAGAACACAAACAAAATAACATTCAACAATGAGCAACTGCAGCTTGGAAAGAAAAGGATTTATCTCATTTTACTCCTGTCCAATCACACGCCATCGCTGAGGGAAATCAAGGCAGGAACTTGAAGCAGAGGCCATGGAGAGGTGCTGCTTACTGGATTGCTCACTCCTGGCTTGCTCAGCTCATTCTCTTATGCAACCCAGGACCACCAGGCCAGGATGGCAAGGCCCACAGCGAACAGGACCCATCCACCTCAGTTATTAATCAAGACAATGCCCACAGACTTTACTACAGGCCAATCTGTTGGAAGAATTTTTTTTCAATTAACTTTCTCTTTCCCCAGTTATACTAGGCTTGGTTTAGTTGACAAAAACCAACCAGCACACCTGGCTTTACAAGTACTCAAAGTTAAACATGAAAATCTAAAGATCTGATGCCAGGATCCACATATTCGTGAGAACAGAGTGAGTCTGTCTTTCTGTCATTTTATCTCAATGTATTTAATCATCTTTTCAGATTTTATACTCCGGGGTCTGTGGTACTGATAACCACATCCTGGAAGGGAAAGACAAAATGCCACTTCCTATCATCCTGGGCCATGAGGGAGCTGGGCTTGTGGAGAGTGTCGGACAAGGCGTAACTACTGTAAAGCCAGGTAGGTAACTAGACGCGATACTGATGCTAACCAGGGAAGCAGGAAGAGGTTTAGCTTTTCTGTCACTTAAGGAATTAAGAGGCAGGACTGAAGAAATGATTCAGAGGTTAAGAGCATTGGCTGGTCTTCCAAAGGTCCTGAGTTCAATTCCCAGCAACCACATGGTGGCTCACAATCATCTGTAATGAGATCTGGTACCTTCTTCTGGCATGCATATACTCAGGCAGAACCCTGTATACATAATAAATAAATAAATCAAAAGAAAGAAAGAGAGAGAGAGAAAAGAGAGGGAAAGAGAAAGGAAGGAAAAGAGGGAGGGAGGGAGGGAGGGAGGGAGGGAGGGAGGAAGGAAGGAATTAAGAGGCAGGGAAAGGTGTTATCAGAAATCACATGGAGCCCCAGTAGAGCTATCATATGATTTCAAATGGTAACTGGGAAATCAAGGTCCTCTCTTGACGTTCTTAGTTTTATTAATGAAAGAATTTAAGAAAAATCACAAATAAGCTTTAGGACAAAGAACAGACTCAAACAGAAGCATGAAGACAGTTTATTGGAGCTTAAAAGGAAGAACCAGGGCAGGCAAACAGGAAGGGGGAGGGGAAGTGGAGAAGAGAAGGAAGGAAAGTCACGCTGCTCGAACTGAGGCAGCATGGGGGTCAGCCCCCCTCCCCCTAGGCACATACAGCCACAGGTCGAGGAGAGGAGCTTTAGAAAAAGGAGTAGGGAATCCCAAAGCATTGATTATGGGGTGTGAGAACATCCTTAGGATACAGCCAGCATCTGAGAGAAAAAGAAGAAATAACTATGTCTTTCCAGACCGGTCTCAGAAGGGCGAGCAGACTCCAAACTCATGGTGGGTATGGTAGGGATGGTGTTGGGTTTCAGGTGTGCCAGAAAGGAAGGGCACGCACCTTCAGATGAACCCAGTTTCTTTCTTTCTTTCTTTTTTTTTTTTTTTTTTTTTTTGATTTTTCAAGACAGGTTTTCTCCATAGCTTTTGGTTCCTGTCCTGGAACTAGCTCTTGTAGTCCAGGCTGGCCTCGAACTCACAGAGATCCGCCTGCCTCTGCCTCCCGAGTGCTGGGATTAAAGGCGTGCGCCACCACCGCCCGGCTTGAACCCAGTTTCTTGTGGGTGCTTCCTAGCCAGGTTCCAGCTGTGCCCTGTGTATTAGCTTTAAAGGGAGGGACAAGGACCTGTCTCCGCCCAGAGGTAGATTCCATTTTTTACAATGCAGCACCAATTCCTGTCCTAATTCCCACTCTGACTCTTTCCCTGGGGTAACATAAAGACCTCAAAATGCACCATATGTTGACAAAACCATTAATCTGCATCCAGACATCAGCTACAGAAATAGGCAACCTGGGTTTCAGAGCCCAGGTGAAGACGGAGTTCAGGGGTGTGAACACTTACCTTCTTACCTGTCCTTCACAGGCTGTGCTCAATTCCCTCATGGAAAAATAGAATATTCATATTCTTCTAATTTTATTTTTTTAAAGCCTAAAAGAATTCTTACCCATTCATCTTTATGGATATTATCTCACACCAGTCCACTCAAAATTAAACTAAGAATTACAATAGATACACTGTATCACAACATTGGCAAACATAAAACATGAAACCTATTCAGTACACACACGTGTGTCTGCACTAATGTTTTCAATTATACAAACAGTAGTATCATGTGTAAGAGTTTCTCCTAGACTTCGTATTTCCTTTCCCCACACTACAGACCTTCCTGTTTCAAACACTTGATAACATCACATTATTCTAACAAAAAGTTTGCCATAGATTTTATTTTGTTTTCTTTTACGTATTTTGTGAGCATGCTATGCCAGGAATACGGGTGAACACATCTGTGCCTTCCCATGATGTCAGAATATACTGACTAACAGTAAGTTCACACGGCACAGCAGTTTGGTTGGCAGGAACTTGCCAGGCGTTCCTGATCGCCTTGATCGCAAGCCCTGGCTGGGGCACCTGTGAGTTGCTCCCTTCCCATCCTAATTACGAATACCAACTCTGACCACACGGCACACAGCACACAGTACATACATCTGTGGCTATATGAGGGTAGAAACTACAGAACAGTTATATGTGTCGGTTACAGAGGCAAGGCATTGCAGGGGACCTAAGATAGAAAGCTGGAAAACTGAAAGACAAGCCAATAAACTGAGGCTTTATGAGGGCTGAGACCTCTGGATGGTGTCCTAGGAGCAGTCAGTTCCCTCCTTTCCCAAAAGGAGTCAAAAGCTGCTTGTAAAGTCATCTTTCGGGGCAATCAATCTGAAAACCATTGTTTTACGTGATACGGAGTAGCTCAGGGCAGGGCACAGACTGATCTCAATCACCTATGAAGCAATGCCCTGAAAAGGGTCAATTCCTTTGATTAACTTAGCTCCTTAATGACAGAATAGCATGTAGGGCACAGGCCGCCTTTCCCCAAGTTCTAGTATGATACAGCACCTCATAATGAGTGCTGGTTCTAATTTAGCTCGTATATGATTCATTCTTCCAATAAATATCAGTAAGCACAGATTCTACTTTTCTCATGGAACACTGAGCCAAACAGACAAGCCTTGTATACCACAAAGACTGATTTCACTCTTAGATGTAGCTACCTCTTGTCTTTGAACCTCAAAGCCACGAGTTGCAAATATCTAAATTCTTTTCTTTTTAATCTTGCAGGTCTATTTATATTAAAATTGAATTTTTTTTACCCCAGAGTGGAGTGATAATTAACTTCAAATACCATGCCCCTGCTCCTCTGCAACAAATTGATGGCATCTGCTCTAACCAGTTCCCAATGGCATTGACTGTATTCCAGGTCTCCCCTGAGTTGGCATAACTTTCTCTATTCTTTTTCCTCAGGAGATAAAGTTTTAATGCTTCCGCTTCCAGAATGTAGAAAATGCATCTACTGCCTCCACCCGAAGGGCAACCTCTGTGAGAAAGAGAAGTTAGTTCCCATTTTGACTTCTTACCTCACTTGCTTTCCTCGGGAGAGGGGTTGACTCAGTCCTGAAAACGTCTTTTCATTTCTCTTCTTTGTTGCTCCGTCTGTGGAGTAGTATTCTCTCTCCGACGGGATTAATGTTGGATGGAACCAGCAGATTTACCTGCAGAGGGAAGAAAATCTATCATCTTTACGGGACCAGCACCTTCACGGAGTACACCGTGGTAGATGAAATCGCCGTGGTGACGATCGATGCTGCTGCTCCCATGGACAAAGTCTGTATCATGAGCTGTGAGGTGCCGACAGGCTTTGGAGCTGTGTTTAATACAGCGCAGGTAAGGACACATTTGAGCTGTTTTCAGTGACTGTCTGTGGGTAAAAGGGGAGCCACATGGCCGGAAGGCTCCTTCAGTCATGGACAAAACCAAAGAGGCCTCCCCTGCTCCCTCTTCATTTCCTACTAACACAAGATCACCTCTGAATCTGCAGGTCACCCCTGGCTCCACCTGCGTGGTTTTTGGACTCGGAGGGATCGGCTCAGCCATTGTCATGGCCTGCAAAGCTTCTGGTGCTTCTAGAATCATCGGGGTTGACATCAATGAGAAGAAGTTTCGCCGGGCAAGAGCCTTGGGTGTCACTGATTGTCTCAACCCTAGAAAGCTCCAGAAGCCAGTCCAGGAGGTGGTGATGGAAATGACAGGTGTGGGTGTTGACTTTGCCTTTGAGGCCATCGGCCTCATTGAAACCATGGTATGTGTCTTGAGCACCTTTCACAAACACACTAACTTATTAAAGTCAGGAGTTTACTGCTGCTTGTTTTATTTGGAAGGGTGTTGCAAACTGAACCAAGGGCCTCCAGCATACTAATCTTGGCTCTATATGTCCAGACCTGATGAAGGGCTATGCATTTTTACCTAGCCTTTTTGAGCATACTGGCATGCCTTGCACTGTTCTACCCATTTCATTTGTAGATCAGCCTTCCCAGCTAATTAATAATATCTTCATCTTCAAGACGAAGATATTAATCTTAATGAATTTAAACAGCTTACTCTAGGCATGCATGCTACTTGATCATAGTACGTCTCCCACATATTCCCCGAAAGCACACATCAGCATTGTTATCAAACTTGAAGAACACAACCTGCGCCACAAGATGGCCTGGCCACCCACCCTCCATAAGCCAATTTAAAGACCCAATTAAAATTTCAAAAGTAAAAAAAAAAGAAGATGTAATCAATGTGGCCACATTGGGAAGGACCCAGTGAAGCCCCCAAGTCCATATTCCAGGTCGTGAAGTAAGAGCAAAATTGAAACAGATACATGCATCTGAGCAGTCCTGGCCAAGGTTTGTTCCCACCCGCCCTTGGTCGGTCCTGTCTGCACTTCAGTCTCATCCTGTAAGGTGGGCCAGCAAGCTGTTCCAACTGTGAGATCTTTCTCCAGGAGACAAATGCCCACGCTGGCTGATGCCCTTTTCCTCTCCTAGACTATGGTTCATGGGACAATACCCATTTCTTTGAGGCTGTTTGTTTTAGTAGTCTACTGATCCAATTGAGGGTCAAAGGCATCTTTAGAGGACCTTCATTTCTACCAGGCTTGCTACAAGTTACATGCAGAGCTGCTGAGATCGTAACCATTCTGTGTCTGCATTTAGGTCTCAGCGTTGAAGTCCTGCAATATGAGCTACGGAGTGTGTGTGATTATGGGAGTTGCTCCAACAGGTTCACAGCTCTCCTTTGACCCAATGGTGCTTCTCCCAGGGAGAACCTTGAAATCTTCTATTATGGGAGGTAAGCCTTTCCGTTTCCTTTCTCTTCCCAGAATCCTCTGCATGCTCCTCGGAGGGGACAGTGGGGAAGAGGGGAAGAAGTAGAAGACAGTCTATCAGAAAATGGCAAGGTGGGCTGTGCTCTCCTCACTATTTAGGAAGAAACTGAATGCTGGGAATACTAAATGATTCAGCTTTGAGTTATAGCTAACTGTCTATCTTTGTCCATTTTGTTGCTGTCAGTGTGTGTGTATGTGTGTGGTGTGGTTAACTTTCACAAAAAAAAAAAGAGGTTTGTTTTGCTTTGTCAATACATTTTTTCTTTTATGTGTATTTTACCTGCATGTATGTATATGCATCTCTTGTGTGCTTGGTGCCCTTGAAGGTTAGAAGAGGGTATCGGCTCCCTTGGGGCTGAAGTTACAGATAGATGTAAATGGCCACGTGGATACTGGGAAATGAACCTAGGTCATCTAGAAGAGAAACAAGTGCTCTCAGCCAATGAGTCATCTCTCCAGCTTGTGTCAGGATAGTTTTATCAGAGCAAGAGAAAAAAGAAACTGAAATTCACATCAAATAGGAAGCAATGAGCTTTGGATAGCCAAGATGACCTCAACTGTGTGCCACAGGGTGCAGACCCACGTCTGTGGCTGCTAAGGGATATCAGATACAGCCTTCTGGCTCAGCACAAAGGACTATACGGTCTGCAGCAAGAATAGTGCCCACTCAGTAAGACAGAAGCTGGGAAGTAAACAGCGGAGGGAGAATTGCCTGCTGAGCCATCACTGGGCCACTGGTTCCAATCTCTCTTCTATTCAGACAAGACACTTTGCCACCTTCCTCTCATGAGCCTGACATCCTGCAAGCTTTGTGGTCTGTTTCCTGCCAGGCACTATGCTCCCTTAGAGGCTCTTCCAGGCTTTTAGAAGGACCCTAGGATTCCACACAACTGCTGGAAACCTGAACGTGTTTGGCTCCAGGTATCTGATTGACCGGCCTTGTGCCTCTCAGATCTCCAGACCTCAATTTTTGGCCTTGATTTTTACCAGTGACTCCAATCCCAAAGTTGAAATTTGAAAGTGCCTTATTCCCAAACACCATGTGTGCCTTCTTGCTGTGTGTTTATCCTAATTTATTAATGACACCAAGTGTGTGTGCATGTGCAAAGGCTTGAGGCATGCTGGATACTAACAGCCAGTTATCTCACCAATTCATAAAACTCGTTCCCTAAAAAGAGGAATTATTTCAATATAGATAAAAGAATCTTCTGCAGAGGCTGTCCCCTTGTTCGTTGTTATTCTGACAGGTTCCAGGTTAGTGAAAACCCTGCACATCAATCAGTTATGCAGTAGGCGGATACCATATTGTTTCTGCGGTACAGATGCTGAATGTCCACTGAGTCAGTAACTTAGAGGTCCCCAGAATGGTGCTACCGAGAGAGAGGTTCTGTGGCCCTTTAGGAGGTGAGGCCTTCTGGGAAGTCCTTATGTCCTTGGGTGTGTGAGTGTCAATGAGACTGTGCTAGAATTTTCCTCTTCCTTTGTGAAAGGGAAGACAGAAATAAGAGACTCAGCGCAGTCATGCTCAGAGCCCCTCACCCCCCGGCTGTCCTTTGTTTCCAGGACACTAACCACTTCCTGCCACCTTCACCTTCCAGCTGATGTTAGAGCCTCAGAGGAGAGGAGTCTGGTCAATCAGCCAGAGGAGAGGTGCTGCAGGAAACTGTTCGCACCCTGAAGACAACGGAGAGCTTTAGGCACATGGGTTATGGTGATAGTCACGAGAACATAGGTAGTAGGGCTCTTCTATAGCCCTGGAAATTACAGTGCTGTCAGTGACTGGATTCTGCTAGCAACACACCATTGGCTTTGACACGTAAAAAAAGGACCAATGAATGAACAGCTTTGATAATTTTAGAAATAGGCAATTGTGGGAGCCTTCAGTCAGCTCTGATATTTTTCACATCCTGTTACTTTTGTCTTTTCCTTCTACAGGGTATAAAACCAGAGACGACATCCCTAAACTAGTGACAGACTACGTACAAAAGAAAATCAACATAGACGCTCTTATAACCCATAAGCTGCCTTTTGAAAAAGTCAACAAAGCATTCAAATTGTTGCGAGAGGAAAACTGGTCAGTATTTGTGTGAATGGGGTAAGTGTGTGTGTGCATATATGTGTGTCTGTGCATATGCACTTATGTGTGTGCAAGTAAGATGTTCCTGGGTGTGGTGACATACATGTGACTTTCAGTCAAAGTGTTATGAAAAGTCCATGCTCCCTTGGCCCTCTGCCACCCTCATGATGACATGTGACAGTAAATGGTAATTCAATTGTCAGGTGAATTCTTGGATATCACATTTCTATCTCCAACGCCAGCATCAACTGCAAGACCTCAAGTGTGAGAACTGCTCAGGAATAAGTTTTTGCTTAAAAGATTAAATAAAAGGGAGAATAGATGAGCAAACTTCCCTACTATGGATGTTTTAGAATGGCGGACTTAGGATGCTTTGTGCTCTAGGGAACTTGCTAATATATAAAGCACAATGTGCATTGCTCTTCTTCTCAATGACTAGAATTTGGAAATTATTGAGAGCATAGCACCTCAGTTGATGAGAAAACCAACATCAACAAAAAGACTGACATTTCAATTCAAAATGTAATCCAATGACTGTTTTCACACGGCCTTTCACAATTAGAAAACAGAATTACTACTCCAGTTCCCACCAGACCAGTGAGTGGCCACCTCAAGAGTGGCGAGAGCTCACAGGGTGAAATGCACCCATAACCGAGGCAGGACAGCTCGGGCTGTCTGTTCTCGTACTGTCTGGTTCTCGTTGCTACATTCAGATCTCATGATTGACAGTTCTTTGCTGGCCTCCATTACAGATATTTTCAGTATCTGTAAAAGAAAGGGCAGTAACAAGAGTAAATCTGGGAAATGGAGATGGGTGAGTCATTCTCTCTCCTAAATGGTAGATGCTATAATTGCTTTGTGCTGTCTCCGTGAGCACAGACAAGTCAGTAACATCAACATCTGCTCTTCTGTGTTTCAGCATCCGCTGTGTTCTCTCGCTCTAAGATCCTGACAATGTGCTACACTAGCATCCTCAGCAGGGTTCTTTGGTGCTTCTTTACCTTCTTGAAGATCAAAATCGGAAAGACACACATATGCAATGTTAACAAATTAAACTGTTAAAGAAAGTTAACTATTTTTCTCCGTTCCCTTCTGCCCCTTTCTCCTACCCTCTCCCATACTGTGGAATAATCTTTTTTGTATACTGTGAAGATGTGTTGTTCTCATTGCTTCAATAAAGAGCTAAATGACCAATAGGTAGGCATGAAGAAGTTAAACAGGAGAACCAGCCTGGGACAACATTGGGAGGAAGAAGAGAGGGGTCACCAAGAGACCTGGAGAAAAGTGAGGAAGCCAGGCAAATATCATGACAGGTCCCAAATACCTCAGTTAAAAATTAGGCCCCAGTCCTTGCTTCTTGCAACTGAGCAGGCTGTTTCTGAGGAAGTCATGAACAAAGGATAATCGATCTTTAAGACCGCAACAGCAGCTCAAGGTATTCTAGGCCTGAGCCAGCACCCCACCTCCACCACCACAAAGCTCCACGGCAGCCAAGGAAGAACACAGCCTGGAACTTGTCCTGGCCTGCCCCCAAATAGAAAAGCTACAGCCTTAGCAAGCCTTTCCTAGCCTTAGCCAATTAGAAATATACTAACATAATTGCCACTCACTTAAGCCAATCATAGATAAAATTACCTAACTGCCCTAGGAACTCCCCGTAGCTGCGCCTAAAAGAAGCCTTCATGTCCCTCTCAGGGTGGTCACCATTTTGTACAGGTGAGCAACCCCACATGCACGTGCTATTAATAAACGCTCTGGCTTATTGCATACGTGGATGGTGGTCTTTTGTGGGACTTCTCCAGGACCCTAACAAGATGCAAGATGAACTTGTTGTGCAAAAAAAAAAAAAAAGTACCAAGAAATACAGGTCAAGGTCAATTTAAGTTGTAAGCATTAGTTAGCAACAAGCCTAAGCTATCAGCCAAATGTTTACAATTAACAAGAAGCCTCTGTGTGGTTAATTGGGAACTGTTGGGAGCTGGCTAGGGGGACAGAAACATCCAGCAACAAAAATCCTGGGCATATTATGTCAGAAACAGAGATGAGTATGCATTTGCCTTAGCACAAAGCAGAATTTATTGAATAACCATAAACACACAAGAGACCACAGTTTCAATAGCAGCAATTTGCCAGAAACATCAGCTTTTCTTGATAGTCCTGACAGTGGTGAGCAGGGGTCCTTTAATTGCAATAATATATTTACTACGGTTAACACTCAGATCACATATAACACATCACACAATGTGTGTGTGTGTGAGAGAGAGAGAGGGGGGAGTTATAGAATGACTCTCGTGAGTTAAGGGGTAGACTTCAGGGGGTTTCAGAAGTCCAAAGAAGCAGAAAACCCAGTAGAAATAAATTTGCAGACAATGAAGCAACCTGAGCTGTTGCCCCTGCTAGATCAGAGGTTCTCAATCACTCTAACGCTGTGACCCTTTAATACAGTTCCTCATGGTATGGTGACCCCTCCAACCATAACATTGTTTGCATTGATACTTCATAACTGTAATTTTGCTACTGCTGTGAATCATAGTATAAATACCTGGTATGCAGGTGGTCTTGGGCAACCCCTATGAAAGGGTCATTTGACCTCCCCAAAGAGATCACCACCCACAGACTGAGAATTACTGTGCTGAAGGGTCTATTAGGGCTGTTGTAGAGTCAGGCTTCAGGCTTAGTTGACAGTAGCTATAGAGACAAAAGGGCGGAACTAGGTCCAGATGAATACGTGAGTAGATGGGCAGACAGCAGATCTAGGCAGGCAAACAGGCAGATGGGCAGGCGACAGTTTGAGTGTGCCATGCCAACAACAGAGACTGAGCAGAGCTGAAGACCCTGAGACAGTTCTGAATTATCTCCCTGTCTGTCTCTTGGTGCACATCCTAGGTGGTCAGTGAGCACTGTCTTCATCTCTGTTTGTTTGGTTTTTTTTAGAGACAGGGTTTCCCTGTGTAGCGTTAACTGTGCTAGAACTCACTCTGTAGACCAGGAGGGCTTCAAACTCAGGGATTCCCCCTGCCTCTGCCTCCAACGTGCTAGATTAAAGATGTGCACCACTACCACCAGGCATCTTAATGCTAGGTGCCTGCCTCTTGAGGGGCTCAAATGGAGGAGTTACCTCCTTTCCTTCACTTGGCATGATAAGTTCTTAGGCCTGCTCTTCTCTGTGTGGTGTTAATATGTTCACCGTACAGAAGATGGGGGTAAAGTTTTGTACTGCATAGCATTACTGATCTCATGCTACCTTGCACATGTAGTATCTGTCACATGAGTTCTACACACAGTTTCAAGCTTTTCGTGTCTCAATAGCATCTTGAATCCTCCTAGGGATGTGTTTTAGTGCTGCAATGAGCCGTAGGTCACCTGCACACTTTCCAATCAACTGGGCCTAAGAAACAAGCTGGTGTAGTTATCCTAATATCTAACAAAACAGACTTCAACCTAAAGGAAATCAAAAGAGATAAAGGACATTTCATATTCATCACTGGAAAAATACATCAAGATGAAGTCTCAATTCTGAACATCTATACCCCAAATACAAGGGTACCCACATTTGTAAAAGAGACATTACTAAAGCTTAAATCGCACATCAGACCACCCTAATAGTGGGAGGCTTCAACACCCCACTCTCACCACTGGACAGGTCTGCCAGACAGAAAGTTAACAGAGAAATAAGGGAACTAACAAAAGTTATGACTCAAATGGGTTTAACAGACATAAATTGACCACATACTTGGTCACAAGGCAAATCTCAACAGACACAAAAAGAAAATGGTATTAAACCCTGTATCTTATCAAATCACCATAGCTTAAAGTTAGAATTCAACAGCAATACAAACTCCAGAAAGCTCACAAACTCTTGGAAACTGAATAATGAGCAATTGAATCATCCCTGGGTCAAGGAGGAAATAAAGAAGAAAATTAAAGACTTCCCATAATTCAGTGAAAATGAAAGTACAACATACCCAAACTTAGCAGTATGAACAAGAAAGTTCTTAGTATTAAAGGCCTTACATAAAGAAGTTGGAGAAATCCCACACTAGCTAATTAATAGAACACCTGAAAGTTCTAGAACAGAAAGAAGCAAATTAACCAGAAGGAGATGCCAGGAAAAAATCAAATTGAGGGCTGAAATCAATAAAATAGAAACAAAGAACAATACAAGAAAAATTAAACAAAGAGCTGGTTCTTTGAAAAAAGCAACAAGATAGATAAACCCTTATCCAAACTAACCAAAAGACAGAGAAAGAATATCCAAATTAGCGAAATCGGAAACAAAAGGGGGGATTTACGCAACAGAACCTGATGAAATCCAGAGACTCATCAGATCATACTTCAAAAACCTGTACGCCACTGGGCGGGAGGGGGGCACACACCTTTAATGCAAGCACTCAGGAGACAGAGACAGGCAAATCTCTGTGAGTTTGAGGCAAGCCTGGTTTATAAAGCAAGTTACAGGACAGGTACCAAAGCTACAGAGAAACCCTGTCTCGAAAAAACAAACAAACAAAACAACAACAAAAAAAAAAAAAAAAAAACAGTATTCCACAAAATTGGAAATTTTTAAAGAAATTGAAAGCTTTCTGGATAGGTACCACATACCAAAATTAAATCAAGACCAGATAAACAATTTAAATAGAATTATAACCCCAAGAAATAGAAACAGTCATCAAAAGTCTCCCCCCCCCCCAAAAAAAGCCCAGGACCAGATGGCTTCAGCACAGAATTCTACCAGAATTTTAAAAAAGAGCTAATTCCAATGCTCCTCAAATTGTTCCATACAACAGAAACAGAAGGAACATTGCCAAACTTCTTTTACAAGGCTACAGTTACCCTGATAACCAAACCACATAAAGATGCAACAAAGAAAAAGAACTACAGACCAATCTCCCTTATAAACATTGATACAAAAATACTCAATAAAATACTGACAAACTGAATCCAAAAACACATTTTAAAAAAATCATCCATCATGACCAAGTAGGCTTCATCCCAGAGATGCAGTGTTGGTTCAACATACAGAAATCTGTCCACATAATCCACCATATAAACAAACTGAACGAAAAAAGCCACATGATCATCTCATTAGATGCTGAAAAGTTTTCCACAAAATACAACAGTTCTTCATGATAAAGGTCTTGGAGGGAGCAGGGATACAAAAACATACCTAAATATAATAAAAAGCAATTTACAGCAAGCCAACAGCCAACATCAAATTAAATGGAGAGAAACTCAAAGCAATTCCACTAAAATCAGAAATAAGACAAGACTGTCCACTTTGTCCGTATCTATTCAATATAGTTCTTGAAGATCTAGCTGGAGTGATAAGACAACAAAATAAGATCAAGGAGATACAAATTAGAAAGGAAGAAGACGTCAAAGTATCACTATTTGATATGATAAGATACATAAGTGACCCCAAAAACTCTGAGAACTCCTACAACTGATAAATATCTCAAGTAGTATGGCAGGATACAAGATTAACTCAAAAAAATTCAGTAGCCTTCCTATAAATAATAAATGGGCAGAGAAAGAAATCAGAGAAACATCACCCTTTACAATAGTTATAAATATAAAATATCTTGGAGTAACTCTAGCCAAATAAGTGAAAGACCTGTATGCCAAGAACTTTAAGTCTCTAAAGAAAGCAACTGAAGAAGATATCAGAAAATGGAAAGCTCTCGCATGCTCTTGAATAGGTAGGATCAGCATAATAAAAATTGCAATGTTACCGAAAGCAATCTACAGATTCATTGCAATCCCCATCAAAATCCCAACACAACTCTTTACAGGAGAGCAATGAATGAGAAATCTTGATAGAGAGAGTCACTATGGGGTTAGGGAGAAACACGGTCTAGGGAAATTCCCAAGAATCCACAAGGATGACTCCAGCTAAGACTCCTAGCAATAGTGGAGAGGAAGCCTGAACTGGCCTCCCCCTGGTAAACACCCCAACAATCATCAATAGAGCCTTCATCAGGTAACTGATGGAAGCAGATGCAGACCAAGTTCCAGGGAGAAGGGAATATATGAGGAGGGGCGGTCAAGATCATGATAGAGAAATCTACAGCGACAGCTGAACCAAGCTTGTGAGAACTCATCAACTCTAGACTGACAGCTGTGGAGCCTCCATGGGACTGAACTAAGCCCTCCATATGTGGGAGACAGTGGGGAAGCTTGGACTATGTGAGGGGCCCCTGGCAGAAGGACCAGAATCCATTCCTGATGCATGAGCTAGTTGTTGGAGCCCATTCCCTATGGTGGGATGCCATGCTCAGCCTTAATGCAGGGGAGAGAGGCTTGGTCCTGTCCCAACTTACTGTACTAAACTTTGTTGACTCCCTATGGGAGCCCTTATCCACAGGGAGGAGTGGATGGGAGGTGGACTCGAGTGGAGGGTGTTGGGAGGGATAGGAGGAGGGAAGGAAGGGAGAACCATGATTGGAATATAAAATAAAGAGCATAATTGTAATGACTCAGCTGCAATATGGCTGACACTTCCAGGTTCCAGAGCCACACATGAGCCCCCAGGCAGAAGTGCTTACTGGCCCCGAGGAATCTTAAAAGACCCTGCAGTAACCCACGTGCGGCATGGTTAAATCTGACACAACTGCGTGATTCCATCATCTGTGTATGAAGTAACCACGTCATCCCCCTGTGTGTATGTGCTAGGCAACCCTTAAAAGCTGGAGGCGCCATCTTCAGCTCTCTCTCTGTGCATACCGACCTTCACCAGGCCTGTACACA